TCCTTCCATCTTCTCCTTGGTCTTCCTCTCTTCCTTCTCCCGACTGGATTCTACGGCTTATTTCAGAGTCGAGTGTACCATTTGATGCCACATGGGACCCAAGATACTTAAAGGTGTTTACCCTTTTAAGTTTATCGTTAAGCAAAGTAACATCCCCCATTTCCTCTTCTCCATTAAAAACCATGTACTCCGTCTTCTCTCTACTGACCTTAAGTTCTCTGTCCTCCATCGCTCTCCTCCATCTCTCCAATTTCTGCTCTACTCCCTCCCTGGTGGTATCTATGAGGACTATGTCATCTGCAAATAACATGTCTCAAGGTGCCGGTTCGATGATCCCTTGGCCCAGCACATCCATTATCACGTCGAAGATGTACAGGCTTAGAGAAGAGCCTTGGTGAAGTCCAACTGTTACTGTGAACTTCTCCATCAGCCCGACACTGGTTCTTACTTGCGTCCTCGCTCCCTCATACATATCCTTCACCAACTTCACATACTTTTCAGACACTCCCTTCTCTCTCAGGCATCTCCACACTTGCTCTCTCGGTACTCTGTCATATGCCTTTTCCAGATCTATAAAGACCAGATGTAGCTTTCTCTGTTTTTCACCATACTTTTCTAACATCTGCCTGACAACAAAGATGACATCCATTGTCCCTCTCCCAGGCATAAATCCAAACTGCTGTTCACCAATCTCTGTTTCTTGTCTTATCCTTCCTTCTACTACTCTTTCCCATATTTTCATTGTGTGTGACATCAACTCAATACCCCGATAGTTCCCGCAGTCGTGGATGTCACCCTTTTCTTTGTATATTGGTATGATCACGCTATCTCTCCACTCATCTGGTAGCTTCTCCTGCTCGTAAACCTTCCTGAACAGATCCCACAGCACCTCGACTCCGTCATCTCCCAAACATTTCCACACTTCTGCTGGTATTTCATCCGGTCCTGTGGCCTTACCCCTCTTCATCCTCCTCAAGGCTCTCTTTACCTCCTCCCTACTAATCTCAGGTGCAGGAGGATATATTTCGAAAAGCTTTTGAACGAGGAGAATGAGAGAAGGGTTTTTGAATTGGAAACACCGGTAGGAGTGAAAAAGATCTATAAGTTGGCGAAAAGGAGAAATAAAGCAACTAAAGACCTTACACAAATAAAACAGATTAAAGATGAGGAAGGATGCGTACTAAGTGATGAGACAGAAATAAAGAATAGATGAAGAAGGCAGTTGCGCAGGCAAAAGCGAGTGCAGTAAATGACATCTACGAAGGCTTCCTTCTTGGCCGTTCTTGCTGCCTCCCCATCCTCCTCGCTGCCCGATGAATCCCAATTTTTCTTCGCCTCTTTCTTTTTCTTTACTTTCTCCTGCACCTCCTCATTCCACCACCACGATTCTTTATCTTGGGGTGCGCCCCTACCCGATGTTTTACCAAGGAGCTCCTCCCTTATGCGCCTGATGATGTTACTGTTTTCTCTCCACCATTCATTAGCATTCTCCTTAGGTGTTATCTCATTCATCATTCTTTCTTTAAACTGATCTTTTAGTTGTTCCTCCTCCAGTTTCCACCATTACAGTGTATCTTTGTAATTTGTTATATTCTCAACCTACTGGTGCTATGCTACATAATGGTTAATATACACTCTGTCCATAGCGTAGAATCAAAACCTAGATGTTTACGTTACGTGTAAACTTACCGTAAGACATCATTATTTGCATTACGTTTTCAAATTCCAGTAAACGTAATATAAGAACATGTTCAGTAAAAACAGGTTGTGAAATACTTAGCGAGCAGTATGTTCTAGACATATGTATTTAAAAATTGGAAACAAAATAAAACACAATTTAACTATTATTCTAAAAAAAGACGGAAGTTCGTTAATTATTGAAAATTCGAGGACATATATTTATTTAATGTAGTTATAACTATTTAAATAGTAAAAACGTTCTTAATTAAGATGTACAAAAAAGGGTTTTGTAAAAAGTGCCCTAGCGAAAACAAGCACTGTTAACAGATGAATAGCTCTACTGGCATCTACTATAATAGATCTTTTTAAACGATCGTTCACTGTTTAACTATGGCCAGGTGAACCAACTGAATAAATTCAGAAAAGCATTGAAATACAATAAGTTTATAAAAAATTGTTCGTCATAAGAACAAAACACCACATCTTACAACTTCCTGAACATTCGATCACTTTACATGATCTCTTTGTTTTGATTTACCAGGTTTATTATGAACTGAGTGATTTGTGAGTGAGTGAAAAAAATATTTAAAATCAGTTTGTAGAAATGACATAATCAGTATAGCTGACAGTATCTCAAAAAATAGTTTAAATTATTCATCAGGCTGTTCGACTGGTATTAACAGAAATATTCTATGTTTAATATTTGTAAGCACGATAAAAATGTATTACTTTTCTACGTTAGTATTGTGACCTGACTGTCTGGTATGAAATGTTATTTTTATCAGACTTTGTATCGTTGTTTTCTGTGTATTTTTCTTTGACTTAACTGTAAACATTACAGACTGAAGTATACAACTGTTTATTCACTTACAGTTTATTGACTGTAAAACTATTCTATGGGTTGTCTAGTATTCTACTTTACAAAATAAAACCTACACCAGATATAACAAGTTTCTGTAAACATTTCTTATAAAATACATAATCCAATATGACAAGTCTCTTGTAAATTCCTGGTCTGATTATCTGCATGTAAAGAGAAAATAATTAAAGTGTAAACACAGTTATTAATACAAATACGAAATGCTTATAACGTACCATACAACACAGTATATACATTATTATAGCTTACACAAGTCTTTAATATCCACAACTGTTCTTATTCACAAGATACCATAACCAAGGTAACAAGAATATTAATTGTTGGAATAATCAAACAGAACATAATTTTTAAAACACATCAATAAATTCAACTATTATTAACAGAGATGCAGGTCGACACCTTTGTGTTCAATCGTTCAAATCTCTATTGTCAACAGAAGACGTAACATAATGTTAAATACTGATGTAACTTATTAATAACTGGTGGTCATATAATAAAAAGTGATGGGATCGTTATTGTTTAGGTTGTGATATCCTGAATATCCCAACCAAACTTTTATCAGGTTACGTTACTTAAAGTAGCTAATTCTAAAATACTGTAACGTTACGCTGATAATATTTTATTAAACTATCTATTAATCTTATTGGAGCACAGGGCACGTGACCTCCACAAACATTCCAGAATATAGTATGATCATATATAAGATGATCGACGTTCTCTTCCCAAACTAATAAAAGTAGAACAGAACAACTAATGTTAAACTTGCTGACACAGCTCCTCCACCCAGAATTACTCTGTAATGGCGGCTGAGTTTCTGTAAATAATTAATAAAACTAGTTACTTTTAAACACACTAATATTAATGTGATGCAGAGTTGTTGTTTTTTAACAATGTAGTTTATATCAATTAATGTTTATACAGCCTTACCTTAAACTGTTGATGTTTATAACCTCCTTTATTTATCCCTGATAGCTTCCATTGCCACGATATTCTCCATCATATCCTCCACTAATCCCTCCACCATATCTTCTATGTTCTGATATTCTAATCCTCTGACCTTCAACTGCAGGAAGAATGAAACAACCCAACAACAAGCAGACGACAAGAACTACAACAAGTGTCGTTTTCATCCTTCACCGCAAATAACCCACCTTTTAATCATAAAATAATAAAGTAAACAGACTGAGTAACTAAGATACTACAGTGATGAACACAAAGTGACAACAAATCCGGTTTGTTCTTTAACAGATATGTCAGATGGATAGAAATGTACTTTAAAACTAGACAAAAATTATCCGTTTGTTTACATTCTTTAGTTCGTATCTTCGTTTCTTTTATCACTTTAACCACATACATAGAAGAAATTTCTGACAAAAGACTTAAATATATTGAATAACCTGAATATTACTGACGTTTCCTTAAACTAATCTTCTATGTGATAATGGATTAAGTTTACGTAAAATATATTGTGGTATAACTTTCATAATAAGGGTAGAATAACTTACCTTTTGGTTGATGTTCTCTAGATTTCCGATAGGGAGTTTTCAGCTCTGTAAAAATTCGTTTCTTTTATATTTATAAGTAACAATGAGATCTGGTTACGAAACGGTTTGGGTGGGATTCAGTAGATCTCAAGAATACTTCTAACGTTTAACCAATAGACGATGTTTCCTGCAGAAGTTAAATTGTAAAAAAGCTGTCTTCATTTCTATGGTCTCTGATTGGACAGTCAAGAATAGAAAGAGATGTTCCTAAGTTCCTTGTAATAGGAAGTTAAATATTACTAGCTGAGGATAGGCTAGAAGGATGCTGGTTCGATAAGGATTATCACTAAAGTAAGTTTCTGCTGAACGTTAAACTCATGTTTCAAGTCTGTTTTCTAATAACAGTTGTTTGATATTAAAATCTTAGTTCACTGCAACTTACGTTATTTACTATATTATAACATTTCTTGCTGATGGTTAATTCAGTAATTCATGTGTAAATACATATCCCAAATTAAAACCGTCAAAGCTTGTTTCCAGTTCTTGGGGTTTCTCAGTATTATCGTTTTAGGTTTACGAGCACCTAAATCTCTCTCATTCTGTCTGATAGGGATTTTGAAGTGTCCCTTGTTCGGTGGACTGTCTTTACAGTTGAGTATCTGTTCTGCTACTGTGTTAGGTTTTCCGTTCTGAAGTTCAGATGCATTTTGGTTGGTTCTTGTCTCCTGGCTGTCGTTCGTCTAGACGTTTCTTTGCCACTCGAACTTTCGTACTGATACACAATCATGGATTTATTTAACTATTTGATTTCATCATTAAACGGAAACACGTTTTCTAATATTCAATCTATTGTTAAATTATGGTTGAGTTCAATTCTCAGATAGGCTGTGTTAGTAGGTTAACATTAGGGTAAATTTATTTTTGGGTACATATAAGTAATATAAAAATGTTAAATATTATTGAGCAAAAGGTGTTTTTTTTATAAAAACAGAGAAATAAACTATTTTGATATGAATTGGATCCATTAATGATCCTACGTTGTTGTTAGACATAACATACCAGTTTCAAAGGTCAACATTAAACATGCAGCTGTAGAAATCAACATCGTTTAAATGGTAGTATTTGTTTGAAGTCAAGCACAAAGATACAAAATGGGCTATCTGTGCTCTGCCCACCACTGGTATCGAAATCCAGTTTCTAACGTTGTAACTCCGCAGACATACAGCTATGCCACTGGGGGGTAAACAGGTAGTAACATACCAGTGTCAAAGACCAACTTTAAACTAGACATAGCTGCAGATATTAATATTTCTACAACCATTGATATTCCAGTTTCAAAAGTTGACATTAAACAACAAAAACTTTCTAACATTAATCACCAGTTCTTCATATACCAGTGTCACCCAGCAACATTAACTTTCCAACAGTAAGTTTCTCATTATAAAATTATTTGGAAACATAGTTTTATTTATAGTCATTTTATTTTTCATGCAAAAAATATATAATTTGTTTTAGTTATATGTATATATAATTTGTTTTCAAAAACTAGTTTCCTATTTTCACAAGTCATTTTTAACTTGAAGTCTTAGTTCTTCCAGATCAACAATACTAAA